TTATGTTATTATATTAATATCATAATATAATTGAAATAATTTTAATAATAAATTAAGAATAAAACAAAGAATAAATAATATAAAAAGAATAAAATTGATATAAATCAACAATAAATAATATAAAATATAATAAATAATAAATATTTAAATAAAATGATGATATAATTTCAAAATATATATTAATTATATCAATAATATAAATATTATTTTGTTTAACATCTTTATTATATAATATTTAATAATATAAATTTAATATCATCTAATATTAATAAATAAATAATATAAATAAAAAGATGAAATTATAAAATGAAAAAGATAATATAAATATTTTATATTTAATTATCTTAATTCATATTTATTATTTTATATAATATTTATTCTTTTAAATATTAATTCAATTTATATTTTTATCAACATTTTATATAATAATAATAATAATATCTATAATATAGATGATATAATAATTATACAATAAATCTAATATTTTGTAAAATCAATAATAAATATATCAAATCAACAAATAATTATTAATATAAAATGAATGAATAATAATAAATGAATATATTCAATCTATAATTAATTCATTGTTTTACATAATTACAAAATCTGATGATATTTAATTAACTAAATATTAATATAATAATCAACTATTTCTATTCATTTATCAAATCATTTATATTGAATGAATCTTGTTTCTCATATAATTACATAATAACAAGAAATGAAGAATATAAATAAGAATAAATAAAATAAATAAAAGAGAATAAAGAAGATGAATAATAATAAAGAATATATAATAAATAATAAACATAAAGAAAAGAGATAAAGTAAGTAAATAATGAAATAAAACAGAATAATAATAATAATAATAAAATAATGATAATAAAATAAAATATAATGAAATACAAAAAGAAGAATAAAAGAAATAAGAATAAAAAGAAATAGAAATATATAAGAAAGAAATAATGAAAGAGAAATAAAAAGAAAGATAAAAGAATTAATAGAAAATATAATAGAAGAAGAAAAAGATAATAAATATAAGAATGAATAATAATAAATAGAAAATATATATAAATAAGATAAAGAATAAAAGAATATAATAAAAAGAGAAAATATAAGAGAATAAAATAAATAAAAAGAATAATATAAAAGAATTAAAAAACATAAATAAAACAAAAAGAAATAAAAAGAAATTAAATAAGAAATAAAGAAAAAAGAGAATAAAATAAAGAAAGAAGAACATCATAAAGAAATAATTAATAAATAAATAATTCAATAATTATTTGATTAAAACATGAAATAAATAAAATAAAGAATAATAAATTAATCAAATTATAACATATAAGAATAAACATAAATAATAATACTATAAAGAAGAATAAAAAAGAATCAAAATAAAATGGAGATATGTAGTATAGATTATTCATATAAATTTTAAAGAGAAATAAAAAGTAAATAAAATAACAATAAATAAATAAGTATAAGAAAGAAGAAAATAAATAAATCATAAATTAAGAATAAAAAAGAAGAAATAAAAGAAAAATAAACATAAAATAAGAAAGATATAATCATTAAAATAATCAATTTATTACTTCTATTTATTATATTTTCATTATCAAAACAATGTAATGAATATAATGAATTAATTGAAATAAATAGAATAGATAAATGAAAAGAATATAAAGAATGAAATGAAATAATAGAAAAAGAAAATAAAGATAATATTAAAAGAATAAAATATTAAATAGAAACATATTTAATTAAATATATAATAAATAATCAACCACAATCAACAAATTGAAATAATTAATAAGAAAAAGTCAATATTGAAACAGAAATAAATAAAATAAATACAAAAATAAGAAATATTTATAAATTGTATTCTCAAATACAAAATCATATTAATTTAACAAGAGAATCTCATTTAATTTTTACTAATAATAAAGAAATTAATTAAACCAAAATCAGAAATAACTAATTTTATTTATTTCATTTCATTTAGAATAAATATCATCTGAAAGTTAGTATAATTTATTTTTCATGAAAATAGAAATAACTTCATTTGATTAAAATGTCCACATGAACAATTTACAAATTGTAAATCAAGAAATATAATTTGAAGATTTGATAGTTTATTATTAACAAAAGAATATTTAAATACACCAATAAGTATTATATTAGAAAATGAATAAAATCTAATAAATAAATATAAAATAAATAAATTTGATAAATCAAAATAGAAAATCAAATAAATACATGAAAGAAGAAAGAGAAGTTGAATAAGAGATATAATAAGAATAGAATAAATAGAATAAACAAATAAAACAAGAACAAAATGAAAATAATGAATAATAATTAAATTATTTTCTTCAAAAAAATATGATGTTTAACAACAAATAACAAAATAAACATATTAATTATAAATAATAATGATAATAGAAATGAAAATATAACAAAAGAACTCCAAATAAATTAAAGAGAAATTAAATAAATGAATCTATATATTTAATTCAAATAAATATCTAATTCAATTAATATTTTCAAAGAATAGATGATGTTCTATACTTCTTTCATATTTAATTGAAATAATAATAACATAATATGATGATATAGAATATATTAAATCAATAATAATAACAGAGTTCACAGAAATAATGAAAATAGATTATATTATAAGTTTATATAAACCATAAACATAATCAATAATAGAGAAATCAAACAAAAAATACTTAGAGAAATATATTCAAATCAAAATAATATTAAATAATGTTATATTGAATATAAAAGTATATAAGTATCTAGTTGAATTATATCAATAAATCATAAATTAATATTTAGAAATATTTACTCAAATGTCAATACAAGAAAAGTAATAGAAATAATAATTTATACCGATTCATAATGATATTTATTTGTTTAATTGTTAGAAAAGAATAAAAGAACGAAG